ACTAAACATTAATCTTGCAACATTATTAAATTAATAATTTGCAGTAGAAGAAAAAATTTCATTAAAATTGTTATTCGATTATTATATTAGGCTCTACATTTTGTTTTCATTTAGAATCTTTCCATTTTTAGTATTTTATTTAAGTCCTGAACTTTTTTTTGGAAAGTTCACTTTCTGAACATTTATCACTGCCCCTGATAGTCTGATGTGCTAACCCATCGGCTTCAAACGCGTGAATTTATTTAATTTGACGTTGCTCTCTCATTACGTGTCTCGCACGGGGGGTGCGCGCGTGAAAGTGGAGAGAGCGAGTGTTAAAACTGCTCTTTATTATACTTAGCTGAACGACTCATTGTTGCACCCGCCCCGAACAACAAGGAATGTATAATTTAGTGCGCGGCCCCGTCATTACCCCTGGACGATAAAAGAAATTTTCCACACTCAGCGGTTCCTCCCATGTACATTTGTAATAATCGGAATCAGGCAAGCACCATACATCACCAATCAAGTCCGTTTCTTTTTCCGCAGCACGCGCCTCGACCGTGCATGTCGTGTTTTTTCCCAGTTAAGGGGCTCAGTCAGATGCTGGTGTTTGTCACGCTTCACTACCTCGCTGTGCAATTAAGGAGTGAATATTGATTTAGAAAAATTTATGACTCTTTTGGCTTGTCTCATTTATTAACAATAATAAAAAGTTTTAAAGGATCAGGATTGCTTGTGATATAAGTAATGAAAAAAGAATACCAACTGTTTTTCTAAATTTGTTAAATATTGCATATCTGGCCATAAAATAAAATTTACATAAAATTAATTTGGCAAAGTTGATTATTTGACATTTCTATGTATTTAATATTTTAAACTTAATTTTAAAACTATTTTTTTCAGTGTTCATTCAAATAAAAAGGTTATTGTATAAAAATTTAAAAAGAGTTGCGATTTTAATTTTAACGATTTTAACACTTTATTTTTTATATGCATAATCAATTGTATGGTATGGAGTGAGAAATAAATCCATGGCTTGTTTAGTTTAATCCTTTCTTTTTATGAGGCTGAAACTTGCTGTGCGCAGTTAACTAATGAAAATAATTCATTACAAAAATACCACTGCCGCCGCCGAGAGAGCTATGTAAATTAATTCGAACATTAGAAGGGTCTCGCATGTACCGCAGCGTGGTGTCCCGCCGGATCGCAATTGGTCACGGCGTTGGTGTTTTTTAATATTCCGGCCATATTTTATCAAATAAAGGCTCCCAATTTATTATCGTAGCAGTTGTGATGCTGCGTGGAAAAAAGAAAGGGTAAAAAAATGAAAACACGCGCGTTGACCCTTTTTCGTTCGCTCTCTCGTATACCCACAAGGGTTGCGCCATTAATCTTTAACACCCATCGAGGAAACGCCGCACGTAATCAAATCTCAACGTTTAATCTATCACACCCGGAGAGAGAAAAACCCACCCGCTTTTTAATTAAAACTTTTATTATTCACTCTCTGGAAAAAAAGCAACGCGCGGCGTGTGTTTTTCTCAATTCGTCATCCCCTTTTATGCATATGCAGACTTTAATTATCGCCAACATAGTGCTGCGTCACTTCATCTCTCGCTCTAGGAAAAATCTCCCAGTGCGTGATGCTGCCCTGTATTTTTTTTTTAGAATTTTATTAATTCGCGTGCCAACGGCCGGCGAGCTGGGTGTATTGAATAATCGTGAATGGCAACAAAGAGGATCGAAATCGCGGCTGCTGCTGATGAAAATCAGATCACCAGCAGCGGCACCGACCATTAATTGCGTTTCGGATCGTCTTCTGACATGCAACTTTTATTGCACATTCACGCACACATATCGCTCATCTGCTTTGCTCTTCCTCGAGTGGCAGTTTCCTCTGCTCTTATGGGTGAAAAACAAAATTTTTATTCATGAATGGGGATTCACATGCGATTTTATCTGTGCGTGTAGAGGAAAAAATCATCTTTTTTATAAATGATCCATTTTTATTATGGCGCAAATTATTCTGTGGGATAAAATTGAAAATTATAGAAACAGGGGAGCAGTTATATTCATCTCAACGTCTAGTAATTTTATTATATAATTATTAAGGAAACAAAGAAGTTTAATTTATTCGATGCACATGTCCCAGCATTTTTAATAATTCATTAGGTCTCCCTTATAATTTTTCTTCCAAGCTACCCTCTCATCTTATTTCACGATTCATTATTTTTGATGCACTTTAAAAGCTGCACCTGTGCGCTCGACAAAAAATACATAAACACTTTTTCTCTCTCGGTTATAAGAACAAAAGGAGCGAGAAAAATGGAAGCAATCTACAGAGTTAAATTAGCTTCTAAATGCAAGAGTCAGCATTACCATTAAATATACGCTTCTTCATCTCGCATTCAAATGCATCTCGCGCCTGGATATTGATTGAAAGATTTTTCATCTTCAAAGTCGGGGGCATTTTTCATGCTGCATTTGAATTATCGGTCGGGGATATCTTTTTGTGAGAGGCATGAAAAGGAATCGTCTTTATAAAGTGGGCTCATTAGCCCGGCAAATGTATCAACAATCAGAGGCATCGAATTTATGTTGTCAGCTTTTTATTCGTTTGTCCGCGTGTAATTTTCAGTTGGGTCCGAAACCGGTTCTTCTTACAAACCCTCACGCCCCGATGAAAACTTTGAGGAAAGGGAGAAGTCGAAATGCCCGATATTGGAGCTTAATTAAAGCAACACACTCGGTATCTTCCGAGAAGCAAGGGAACAGCGGTAATGCAATAAATTTCATCTTTCAGCCGCAATTAACACTCACGCACCAACCTGTCGCCGTGTATTTTGAAACTCATTAAAAGTTTAATTACTTGATTTTATCGTTTAATTGGGAGAGGCTGACAATGAGACGCACCTTCTTGTACTTTGACTGTCAAAAAGGAAATGTAAGAATAAGTTACAGTCTAAAGTAGTGGCTTTCATCTCCATAATATCTGGTTATTCAAACTTAAAACAAATTAAATGCTCCCTCATGGCATGGATTCACTTCTTACCACTTTATTGAGCTTGATTTTTAGTTCATTATTATTTCAAACAATTTTCATATGATTTGTTATGAAGGATATTGACAATCGTTAATTACAAAATTATTCTATGGGAAGGTTATACAAGTTTTATTATTAAATTAAATCAAATGCATGCAAACGAAAATTAAAAATATATCAATTCTTTTTATTAAATAATCAAACTTGTTTGTATACTTTAAATCTCCTTAGAAATAAGATAAAGAAAAACTAATTTCTTTCCTCTGTGAATATAAAGCTTATCGGATCAGTCGCAAAGGTGGCCCAGTGTGTCTCTGGCGCAAACAAACAGAATTGCAGACGTCGCTAAATTATCGCCTCTCGACACACACTCGACAGCAGCATTTCGCTTTCACGCGCGCAGATCTACAATTAGATTTGCACAATAAGCGAGGGATTTAAAAGGGCGTGAAAGCAAGTCTGATTGTCGCCAGGCTTATTTACGAAGTGGTCTCGTCAGCATTGAACCGGCGCCAAAACACTATAACGACTTAGGCAGGCAAATCCTCCAGCAGCGTCTTCGCAAGGTTACCAGTTCAGAACGAAAAAGCCAGAGTATATTTCTGGGCGGGTCGCGCGGCACCCATTGCGCCAAACTGCGTGTGATTTGCGATAATGAGACGCCCGCTATTATTTTTTCGCACGTCACACCCACCGCAAATGCAACACATAATATTCGTCTCTCGCCGTTTCATGATATTATGCCCGAGAGGTGCTGCTTTGATTTTTTCCTGGGACAGTGTCTCACGGTCAGAGGGATTTGCACACAATGCTTGGTACCATTGTGTCTGCCATTATAGCAGCACTTTCAATGCAAATATCGCTTTTCGCGGAAATAATCCGCGTCTTAGCGCCCAGGAATTAATTAAAAATTATATACAAGACACAAATAATAGATTCTATGCGCGGTTGTTGTTTTATTTAAAGACTTTAGAATCAATTTTGTACCAGCCAATTTATCTTCCCGGCCAGGAAATAATAGCCCAGCGATGTATCGACGTTCCAAATCAATAAAATATACCGTCTATCGACAGCTCCTTTTTCCGCTCTACTTTGGACAGGCACTTGTATGTAGTTTGGGGCGAAACGCTTCTTTCGATGAATAAATTATTCCTGTTTTCGTCAAAAATTCAGCGCCGACAGGCCTGTCGGTTTGCATCTCATTTGGCCGTGTACAATAAAATATGCCCGGAGAGCGGCATGGAGCGGACGGATTTTCGCAAGCTGTATATAATTTGGCGGAATTGAATCGGCACGACGCCGCATTATATTTACTGCGCCTCTTTGCAGACCTCCGAGCAAGATAGACCAAACTTAATTGCGGGGTCTATTTTCTATGGCCCTGCGAATCTAAGAATTCAAAGAAGAGCAGTTCAAAAACCGACTTATCATTTTAGCTATGGTAAATTTTCAAAGAATTTTCAAGTAAATAAATCCAATTAAGTTTTATACTTGCCACAGTGGTTTGCGTGAGGAAATTTTGTAATAATTGTATGAAGTCCTGGTGCTGCAGTAATGCTCAACTCAACATTTGAGTCGTTCCAACTATAAAAATATGAGTTAAATTTACCTTCATATGGTGGTTAGAAGAGCATTGCATAAAATTCCACACATTTCGCATCCTCTATAAATTTTCTGAAACCCTGGCATAGAAACTGCCCTCGACTAAACTTTTGTGTTGATTCAACTCGTCAGATGAGTTGAATTTACCTTCAAGTGGGGGTTCGACAAGCAGATCACGTGACCGGCAGTAAAATCAACTCACCCAGTTAGTTGAATCAACTCAAATGTGAGTTGTATTTACTAAATCTCACCGAGTTTGATGGAACTGTGCTAGGACTTCATAAACGCCAAGATGTATGAATATCAATGATTTGTTTCAAAAAAGGTAAAGATCAATTAATTTAAAATTAACTCTGTTATTTTTCTTTTATTATTTAATTAATTTTTATAATTTTCAGATTTAAATTATGTTAAAATCATTTTTATTAATATTTTAAATATTATTACAATATTTTCGTAATTGCTTCAAGGTAATCTTGTTTAATTGTACTGTATGCCATTTATTAGGATGCATAGAAATTATTATGAATTTAATTAATATTGTGTTTGAAATGTTACATTATTGTAATAACATTCCTCTGCTATATGCGATTTATGGTTCCGAATTTTACTGAAGCCGTTTTGAAGTTAGCTTAAGTGTTAAATATTCATAAAATTTATTACATCGTGCACATAATACAGTGCAGGTAGCAGGCTTTGGCTCACCCCAAGAAGCATTCTTTGGCTCCGCGTTCGGAGCAGTCTGTGGCTCAGCGTAGGCAAAAGTCTTCAGCTGGGCTCGAATGTTGCTTTTGTATGCCTGGTTGTGCTCATAATCATTGGCCACCTGATACAATTGCAAGTACTTAATTGGATTTTTTTTTATCAAAATAAGTATGTTACCTTATTGGGCTCAGCGAGAAATAGTTTGTTCTTCTCAAGCCCCTGCAAGGTCGACTCAATCAGTTTTATTAAATATCTTTCGTCGAACTCTGCAGTCTTTGGCTCTGCGTAGTCGCAATCCTGACATTTTCTTTTAAATTGCAAAAGACGAAAATTTTAATATTAAACATTTGTTCAATCCCATGCTCACAAAAAAATTATTTAAAAAATTTAATTTTCTAAAAATCTTTATATGCTAATGTTTGCTATATGACCTGATAAATCCAACTTGCCGTAAAATGTATTGCACCCTGCGCGAATAATTGATTTCGAGTTAATAACACTGAGAAGGAAAAGTGAACTTACATTATTTAGAAGTTGTAGGTCATCGAAAGAACGACTGGATTTCCCACTTTTCTGGGTGATGCGTTAGAATTCTGAAAATTAAATAAAAATTGGTTTGTCAGTTTGAACTAGTACTTGATATCTAATGATTTTCTGAAACCCTGGCATTAAAACTGCGTTCAACTTATTTTTTGTGTTGATTTAACTCGTATGATGAGTTGAATTTACCTTCTCGCGAAGATTGGACGCGAAGATCATGTGACCCTCAAGCTGTTCGTTTAACCAGGCAGGTAGGTAAAATCAACTCAACACGTTAGTTGAATCAACTCATCAGGTAAGTTGAATCTACTCATTCTTGCTGGAGCTGACAAATGAATGCCAGGACTTCATAAACCTCAAGAGATACGTGCTTAACAATTGTTATAATAGATTTATAGAAATAAAAGATTAACCCTCTATAATAATTTACATATTAGATTCTAAAATGATTGGAAAATTATTATCTCTGTAATAGTATCTCTTTGGACAATAGAACTGTCTTTATATCGTACGTGAAACTCTCATGTTCCTCCTAAAATATTTTTAGTTTATATCGCCGCTTTATTTCAAGCGAATTTTCCTGCACCGGCTTCCAACAATTTATTTCTTCTTTCTATATATTTCCTGATACTTTGTTAAAGATATGTCCCTGTACCCAACTTCTTGGCAGCTTCTTGGTATATTCAACTCAACATTGAGGGTTGCATTTATCTCCGTTTATAAGTTGCGCCCAAGAGAAATCACGTGTGAGCATTCCGTGAGTTTTACGCAGGTATAGGCGAGAAAAATCAACTCAGCATGTTAGTTGAAACAACTCACCAGACGAGTTGAATCTACTAACCCTCTCTGATTTTAAGAATGAGTGCCAGGGCTTCATAATTGATTAGAGACACCGAGGGAAAAAATACAACTTTATTTTATTTTATACGAAAGAAAAATTAAATTTTTATAGAAAACCCTCATTAGCAAAAAATAAAAGGCAGAATCATCGCATACTTTAATTGCAGGTGAAAAAAATATATTATAAATTACTCTATTTTTTCTGCTTCAATATGATGGGCACATCGGTTTTGGAAAAAGAGTTTGATGGCAGAAGTTAGGGTAAAAAATGTTAGTTATTTACTCTGATGAAGAGGGGCAAAAAGCCGCAGAAGACAAATGCTGGTTGGTCTCTTATGCACGCGGAATGCACAGCGCTCCATCAAGGGGGAAAAATAATTGGCAAAAACCTCTCTCGCACGCCACTGGCCACGGCCAAACACTTTTTCCTGGCGAGTATGAAATAAATCAAGCGCCAAAAGGAGACGCTCTCAATTTGACGCCGCGCCAATTCGCGCTATTTGCCAAAGAGGAAAAAGTGGCAGACTGCACATTTACACCGGCGTCCGTAATTCCATGTTGCGAGCAGAGAAAAGGAAGGCCGGCGCGCGCGACAAAAAGCACTTTGCGTTGTTTTTGCCTGAGAGCAGGAGAGCAACGAACCCATTATTTGAATCCGGCGCGAGCTTTGGGGAGCGAAAGGTTAATTAAACGGCGGGCCTAATGATTTAATTAAAAACTAATCATAAGGCACACAAGTATAACTGGGCACGTGAGAATCAAAACAACAATAACTCATCACGGACGATGACTGTGGCGAAACTTGCTCGAGTGTGAAAAAACCCGCGTGACCAGCACGAGCTTCGGAAGAAATTCTGACAAGACGTGACCAACCCTGACTTTGATTATTTATTTCGCTCTCTCCCCCGCGAGCCCGAGTTGGTGCTCTTCGGGGAAACGCGAGTGGCACGCGGCCGCCGGCTGCGGAGAACGAATTTTCGGTGCTTTCGCACAAAGGCCCGGTCCTCGCAGCGGGTTTCCGATTCCGAAGAGACGGCAGGCAAATTAGGCCGTCTCGTGATAAATCGCGGCCACTTCGCTTTCCGTTGCCGAAACAAAACAAACAACACGCTTAGAAATCGCCTGCGCTTCTGTGTCTGTTCGCTTCCCAGGGAGTTGCCAAATGATTAATCACGAGTATTTTGTTCTTTCAAATGGAGAGCGAAATTTGTGGGCGAAAGTTATTATAGGAGTGGACTTTTATTTATATTTTTTATTTTGAATACATGTTATTATATAGAAACTTTCACCTTAATATTATTACCAATTTCTATGTTTTTTTCGCTTGACTTATTGATGAAACAGATGCTATTCTTTTTAAATTCATAATACTCTCTATAGTATCTAGAAATTTAGTTTTCCTTAATTATTGGACCATAACATTTATCATTTGTTCTGTTTACTAAATAAATTTTTTCCAATTATAACGAATATTTTACAACACTCACATGAGGGCATTACTCCACATAAAAAATATTCAAATTAATCTTTAAATATTATATTAAAGAATATATTTTTAATTCTGCCTTATTTTTTTAACACAAAAATAATTGACTTATGAATGTCATTATTACGATGACATTTTTGACAAACCCTGCCTCCTCTATTCGCATTCCAATCTTTCCCTCTTCAGATGACAATATAATAATATAACAGCTGACATTTCATTTCCACTCTCCCCTTATTTTAATTCAGTCGCGGTGGAGGAAAGATAAAAGAATTTCCCCGCGCCGATTGACAAGGCAGCATAAATAAGAATTTCTAATATCGTCTCATCACCGTGGTTGGAAAAATAATAAAACCCTGCGAGAGATGATAAAACCAACCAATGTTGTTACTTCCCCTCGGATGGTCCTTTTCAACAACAGTCGCATGCCGCTCGCGAGAAATGCGAGGAATCCGTGGATGAAAAGGGTACCGCGTGTATATTTTTTCTAATCGCCTTAATTTAATGAGAAATATCTAACGAACCGTCTTAAATTCTTATGTAAAGAGGCATTACGCCGCGAGTCCATTCAAGCTATATCGCTGGGAGTTTTCTTTCCGGCGCAAGACGTGCGTATCTAAAAACACGCATGACTCGGCGGATTCTGCCGCGTTTTTCAAAACTTTGTACACAGACGCCGAGATAAGGCGATGACACATAGTTTGTGTTACTGTAGTGAAATGGATTTGTCCCTGACAGGAAGGAAAATAATGCACACTGCTTGATGCAATTCTCAAACTCTGACTCAGAGCAATTTATTATAGAACAAAAAACGTTTGAAAACAACTGTCACAAATAAATAAAATAGAAATACAAAAGCAACTGATAAGTCGTCGATTCTGTTTTTATAATGATCTTTATAAGATAGAAATTTATCAGCACAAATTTAACTTCAAATTTTTCTTTTATTTTTCAAAGTTAGGAATGTTCTTTTATATCTTTCCAAAATTTAAACTTTTTTATGAATGTTGAAAAATATCAAGTTGAAACTGTTACTTATATAATTAAACTGCGCTAACAATTTACTATCTTTAACTCATTTTCTCATAAGCCCATCTCGTTTACACCAATGTCTAACGTCATGCAAGTTGCATAACTTCTCCAGCAATGAATGTTTTACTAGTTTCTGCAAATAATACAATCAAATTCTTTTTCATTGCAACGTAGAATCTTCCGAAAAAGCTGGGAAAAAACCATTTTTTAAGGAGAAGTAAGCGTTATTTTTTTTTAGAACATTTAAATTTTCTGAATGAAGTAAAATTGATTTATGTTGTATTTTTCATTTTTCAAATGTTCAGCAAAAAAAATTATATAAAAGGAAAATTCATTGCCGATGAGGAAAAAATCACTTGGGTGTAAAACCGAGCAAGTGTGTCTGATGAAATTAGCGGCGCAGACTGCACTTCCTCGGTGTGCGTCTTCTGTGGGTGTTGGTGCATGAGCAATGAGCAAAACAAACGCGCCCCGAGCTGCTCCTTTTTGCCCAAGGAGATGTGGATGACCAACCATTGCTAGACAACCATACACTCGCCCATTTCGCTTTTTTACCACACGATCGAGGCGAAAAACTAAGCCTGAATTTCGTTTGGTCCAATCAGTGGTTCGTAAACGCTTTTTCCTTTGCACGCTTTTCCCGACTCATCTTTGGTTATTACGCGGCGCGGTGTTTGCTCTCTGCTTTTTTTGTACCGCAGGTCGGTGTTTTTGCCCGACGAGCGTTGAAAATTTCTGATAACTTCACACTTTGAATGGGTAATATCGCCGCCGTCGCACGGCACAATGGCAGCCCTTCCACCTGATGACTTTCTCGGTAAAAAATTACCCGTGGCCAATTTTTGTTTGCGTCTCGAGATGGGCATCAGGTATTTTATTCACATATAACTTCGGTGCCCCTGCCTTCTTTTGTCCTCATGTTTGGCAACTGCAGGTATTGCACAAGTTAAGTTGGCCTTCAGGGCTTTCAATTAATATTAAAAAGAGCAGGATATATAAAGAGAGGAAGCTGCAGCAAAGTGCACTGGGCGAGAAAGCAGCGTGGCAAATTTTTAATTCACTTGTTTCCTTTCAGTATCTCGCAAGGTGGCTGCTGCTCAATGGAGCATAGGGGAAATTTCTAAAAAAGATTGATAGTTAAGAATGAAAAGTGATGAGCGAAATTTTGGTGAAATTTCTAGTGATTAAAAGTGAAAATTCACACACGTTGCGACAAATTTAATACAAAACACAATAAATAGAGGCTGAAATTTTCCCCATTTGAAAAATAATAGCCATGAATAATTTTATCAAGACTTTTTTCCCCAGCTTAAGGAAGTTCACTCTCTGTTTTCCTGGGAAATATATATGCATTAGTGAAATTAGCACTTCTCCTCGGATTCAATCTTGATGATGCAGTGTTAGTCCCAAGTGATTCATCCGTTAATTCTGAGATTAGCAGATAAAAACAAAGCGGGAGATTGCGGGGTGCGATATAATAATTATTGGGGAGAGACGAGCATAATTTTCAATTATCAGCACCACTCTGTATGCGATGAAAGAAAAACTAACTCGGTCCCATTTGCAGCTCTCGAGTTTAGCGAAATGGAATGAATAAATCATAGCAGAACAACATTCCGGCCCGTCTCTCTTTTGATAAAACTCATATAAATTGGCCGAGCTTTTGTGTTTTCATAAGGGCAGAGGGAAAACTTG